AAATTTGTCAATAAAGAAGTTTATCAGCAAACATATAGATATACAAATTGATGAATAAACAAAATTTTAAATAAACAAATTGATAAATATACAAGCTTATAAACACATTTATGAATATTTAATTTTTTAAATAAAATAATAAAAAAGACGAAATTTATAAATAAAGTGGTTTAAATAGGAATTAATAAACAAAATGATACATGAACTTATTTATAAACAAATTTTTGAACCAAGTAAAAAAATATATTAATAAAAAAATTGATAAACAAATTTATCCATTAACAAATTCTTAAACAAATTTATGAATGTACAAATTTATAACCAAATGCAACAAATTTATCAAAAAACAAAAATATAAACAAATATGTGTATAAACGATAAAATTAATAAACAAACTTTGAAATTACTTTAATAAATTGACAAATCAATAATACGGAGGTAATGTGTCAACGAATTTATAAAAAAAAATGATAAAACATTTATAAACAAATTTTAAAAATATACTATTAATTAAAAATTATAAATAAACAAATTTAATTAAATATTTATGCAGAAACAAATTGATGAATGAATTTATAAATGAACAAATTTATAAAACACTTATAAATCATTTATAAACAAATTATAAAAATATATTAATTAAAAATTAAAAATTAACAAATTTATCGATAAGAAGATTAACGAAAAAATTTATGAATCAACAAATTAATCAATAAACAAAATTTAAAATTTTTGATACAGAAATAGTCTGCAGTAAAGACGAAAAAACTAACTACTGCTTTATTTGATATTGATTTTCAAACGTGTGTGATGATTTTGAAAGAGATGGAACTGTATTTTGTTTGTAATTTGTAGTATAATTTTGACAAACAAATTTTTCAATAAACAAAAATATAAACAAATATTTACGAAGAAATAAACTGATGAACAAATATATAAATGAACAAATTGTTAAACAAATTTGAAACTAATTTATTAAATAAAAGATTGGCAAATTAACAAAACCGAGGTTGTAAAAGAACAAATTTATGAAACTATTATGAAACATTTATAAACAAATTATAAAAATATGTTAATTAAAAATTATAAATGACAAATTTATCAATAAGCAGATTTATAAACAAATTTATGAATCAACGAATTTATTAATAAATCAATAAATCAACTTTAAATCTGCTTTGTTTGATATTGTTTTTCAAATGAGTGTAATATTTTTGAAAGAAAAACAATGGAATTGTGTTTTGTTTGTAATATCTGTCATCTAATTTTGTCAAACAAATGTATCAATTAACAAAAATATAAACAAATAAATGAATAAACAGATTTATGAACAAACAACCTGATGAACAAATTTATAAATGAACAAATTCATAAACAATCTTTGGAACCAATTTACGAAATAAAAATTGACAACTCAACTATACGTAGGTTATGTTACAAATGAACAAATTTATAAACAAATTCATAGAAATATATTCATTAAAAATTATAAAAAAACTAATTTATCGATAAGCAGATTTATGAACAAATTTATGAACCAACAAATTTATCAATAAATAAAGTTTAAATTTTTTTATAAACAAATAGTGTGCAGTAAGGACGAAAAAACTATCTACTGCTTTATTTGATATTGTTTTTCAGTTGTGTGTAATGACTTTGAAAGAAAAACAATGGTACTGTATTTTGTTTGTAATTTGTTTTATAATGTTGTCAAACAAAAATAATAAACAAAAATATAAACAAATATTTATGAAGAAACAAAATGATAAACAAAATTGAAACTAATTTATTACATAAAAAATTGACAAATTAACAATATCGAAGTTGTAGATGAACAAATTTATAAAACAATTATAAAACATTTATAAACAAATTATAAAAATATATTAATAAAAAATGATAAATAAACAAATTTATCGATAAGCACATTAATGAACAAATATATGAATCAACAAATTTATTAATAAATCAATAAACCAAGTTTAAAACTGGTTTGTTTGATATTATTTTTCAAATGTGTGTAATAATTTTGAAAGAGAAACAATTGAACTGTGTTTTGCTTGTAATATCTATGATCTAATTTTGTCAAACAAATGTATCAATTAACAAAAATATAAACAAATTGTTGAATAAATAGATTTATGAATAAACAACCTGATGAACAAATTTATTAATGAACAAATTGACAAACTTTGGAACCAAGTCATGAAATAAAAAATTAACAACTTAATTATACATATTTTATAAATGAATAAATTTATGCGAAAAATTTTAAAATATTTATAAACAAATTTATAGAAATATATTAACTAAAAGTTATAAATAAACAAATTTATCGTTAAGTAGATTTATTTACAAATTTAGGAGACAACAAATTTATCAATAAACCAAGTTTAAAATTTTTTATAAACAGTGTGCAGTAAAGATGAAAAAACTAACTACTGCTTTATTTGATATTGATTTTCGAGCGTATGTGATGATTTTGAAAGAGAAACGATGGAGCTGTATGTTGTTTATAATTTGTGCTATAATTTTGTCAGACAAATCTTTCAATAAACAAAAATATAAATAAATATTTATGAAGAAATAAACTAATGAACAAATGTATAAATGAACAAATTGAAAAACAAATTTGAAATTAATTTATTAAATAAAAAATTGACAAATTAACAAAACCGAGGTTGTAAAAGAACAAATTTTTAAAGCTATTACAAAACATTTATAAAGAAATTATAAAAATATGTTAATTAAAAATTATAAATGAACAAAAATATCGATAAGCAGATTTATAAGCAAATTTATGAATCAACGAATTTCTTAATAAATCAATAAATCAACTTTAAATCTGCTTTGTTTGATATTGTTTTTCAAATGTGTGTAATAATTTTGAAAGAGAAACAATGGAATTGTGTTTTGTTTGTAATTTCTGTCATCTAATTTTGTCAAACAAATGCATCAATTAACAAAAATATAAACAAATAGATGAATAAACAGATTTATGAACAAACAACCTGATGAACAAATTTATAAATGAACAAATTCATAAACAAACTTTGGAACCAATTTATGAAATAAAAATTGACAACTCAACTATAGGTAGGTTATGCTATAAATGAACAAATTTATAAACAAATTCATAGAAATAAATTCATTAACAATTATAAAAAACAAATTTATCGATAAGCAGATTTATGAGCAAATTTATGAATCAACTAATTTATCAATACAGTTTAAATTTTTTTATAAACAAATACTCTGCAGTAAGGACGAAAAAACTAGCTACTGATTTATTTGATATTGTTTTTCAAATGTGTGTAATGATTTTGACAGAAATATACATAGGTTATAAATGAATAAATAGAAAAAATTTTAGGATATTTATAAACAAATTTATAGAAATATATTAACTAAAAATTATAAATAAACAAATTTATCTATAAGCAGATTTATGAACAAATTTATGAGACAACAATTTTATCAATAAACCAAGTTTAACATTTTTTATAAACAAATAGAGGGAGTAAAGACGAAAAAAGTAACTATCGCTTTATTTGGTATTGTTTTTCAAATGTGTGTAATCATTTTGAAAGAGAAACGAAGGAACTGTAATTTGTTTGTAATTTGTTATATAATTTTGTCAAACAAATTTTTAAATAAACAAAAATTTAATATAAAAATATTTATGAAGAAACAAATTGATAAACAAATCTGAAATTAATTTATTAAATAAAAAATTGACAAATTAACAATACCGAGGTTGTAAATGAACAAATTTATAAAACAATTATGAAACATTTATAAACAAATTATTAAAAATATTAATTAAGAATTATAAATAAGCAAATTTATCGATAAGCAGATTTATCAACAAATTTATGCATTAACAAATTTATTAATAAATCAATCAACCAAGTTTAAAACTGCTTTATTTGATATTGTTTTTCAAATGTGTGTCGTAATTTTGAAAGAGAAACAATTTAACTGTGTTTTGTTTGTAATATCTATGATCTAATTTTGTCAAACAAATATATCAATAAACAAAAATGTAACCATATCTATGAATAAACCAGCTGATAAATTTTGAAACAAATTTGTAAAATAAAAAATTTACAAACAAACAATAAATAAATTATAAATAAACAAATTTATGAACAAATTTATCCATGAACAGATTTATAAACGAATTTATAAATGAACAAATTTATTAATAAACAAAGTTTCAAATAAATTTATAAACAAACGATGTGCAGTAATGACGAAAAAATTAACTACTCTTTTATTTTATGTAGTTTATAAGTGTTTTTTTTTTTAATAACTAACTGTATATAATTTTGTCAAAGGATTTGTCTACATTTAACAGATTTTTTTATATGCAGATACAAAAAAGTCACCGTTTCACCACTAACTCTCAGAGCTTCGACAATCGCTATTTTTGGTACGCTTCAGTGCAGCAATAGCCTTAAGGCGGCACTTTCATCAAAATTTTATGGTTTTGTTGACCTTGAGCTCCCAAATCGCTTTAATTACTGCCTGTGAGCACAATTTAAGCATCTGGAAACTATTGATTAAAGGCACGTGATCCTTTTACCTTGGTGTGTGGATCGAACTAGGGGTAGGTAGTTCGCAGTTTTTTTTTTGTACGAATTGCCAAAATAATACTTCTGCCGTAACTTTTTTTATTTCATGAAGTGTGACTGTCATTGAACTTAAGTCATACTTAAGTCTATATATCTTTTTTTTAGAATTCTAGAAACTTATATTATTAATGTTTCTAGGAAAGTTCTAGCTTAAAAACCTGCTTGTTTCACTTATAACCGCAATCAAATTAGCACTCCGCTAGACGTCACTCAAATTATCACCTACTTACTACATACACGTTACAGAATCAACGCTTTCATCACCCCTTAATCAAATATTCCCCCTACACGCACCCATAATTAACAGCGTCACTCCAGCCATTACAAATTAGCGTCAACTAATGCATTAGGGGACGTTTTTACCTGCGGTTGCGAGGTGACGGGGGGCGACTTCGTGTAGGGGTCAACCGGAGCTTCGCCATCTTCGCACTCCGAGGATAGGTCCCCGGAGCTGAAGCGTCGTTTCAGGTAATTGACATTTGAAGTGAAGGACTGCCTAAAGCTGCTGAACGAAATGGTGGGGCCGTTTGCGGTGGGGCCGCAGTACTTGCCGCACTCGGAAATCTTGCCGCCTCTAGCTAGCCGCCCCCTCTACACGCCGTCAATCTGGAAAAACGAAAGAAATTGATATTATAGTTAAGCTGCCAATAAAGATGAGAAAAGCGCTTCATTGTTTGCTGGCTTTTAGCAGGGCGCGCTAATCGCGTAAAGAATGGGCTTAATAGTGAGTGGGCCGGCAACAAAGCTTTACGACGCTTTTATAAGGGTGTATTAATCCGTGTCTTCCATGGAGATTGGTCATGGGGGAATTTTTTATGCGTGGAAGGGTCGACGATGTATGTGGATATTCAATGAAAAGGTTAATAAATTTTTGTTCTAAAATTTTTGGCAGTTATAATGTTTTAATAGTTGCCGAAAACTAAAACGTTACCTTTAGAGACCTTTTCTTGCGATTTATCTTTTTCTTTACTTTAGCAGGGAAAAAACGGGGACTCACACGATCGTAAATTTTCATATCCAAACACGTGAATCGATAGAAAGTTTAATACTAAAGTCCTACATTTTTATAACGTTGATTTTGATAAAAACGTTTTTATAGAGCTGTTTGGAAGAAGAACCAGTAAATAACAAAGTCGGCTAAAAATAAAGTCGGTCGTTTTGTGGTAAAACCGTAGTATGGCAAACCGTTTCAATATACATAGATTATGCAGACACAAACAGTTTAAAATCGAAGGAGAAATCCGCGTTCAGTGAAATCAAGGAAGTGTGGAACCGCTGATTTGTTTTTGAACGATTTGTTTGTTAGAAATATAGTAAAACGCTAACCAAAATTTATTTAATCATCCCTACCAATAATTTGATGACGTCGCCTCAAATTTTTTTAGGAAACGGCATTTTTATAAAAGAACATACTCTGGTATTTGTGGTTTATGAATCTGCCGAAAAATTAAGAAAAAACAACGGCTGACTGTGGATACTGAAAAAATTGGTTGAAAGTTATATCGACAGAACTTGTAGTATAGTCTAACAAATACTGCTTCTCCGAAAAATGATAAAATTTAATTTTTTGGAATTTTATTTTTTCCTGATAACTTCTATGGAGTAAAAACAATATAGAAGGTACTAGTCACAGCGTAACAGAAATAAACAAGGTTTCATCTTCTTAAACAAAGACAGTTAGGAGCCCCGAGAAGATTTAATATTCTTAAAAAAAGGCACTTGTGGCCCCCGAGAAAGTTTGGCGTTCTTTAAAAAAGGACAGTTGGGACACCCGAGAAGGTTTCACATTCTTAAAAAAGAGACATTTGGGTCCCCGAGAAGGTATCACATTAAAAAAAACATATTTGGGGTCCTCCAGAAGGTTTTACATTTTTAAAAAAGGACAGTTGGGACCCTCGAGAAGGTTTTACATTTTTAAGAAAGACACTTGGGCCCCCCAGAAGGTTTCACATTCTTAAAAAAAAGACAGTTGGGACACCCGAGAAGGTTCTACATTAAAAAAAAATCATCTGGCTCCACCGAGAAGGTTTTAGATTTTTAAAAGACAATTGGGGCCTCCGACAAGGTTTTACATTAAAAAAAAAGACAGTTGGAAACCACGAGGAGGTATCAGAAAAAAGAATGGGGCCCCCGAAAAGGTTTTAGATTTAAAAAAAAAACAGTTGGGACCCCGAGAAATTTTCACATACTTAAAAAAATACATTTACAATTTTTCGTTTCGTCAGTTTTTCAATTTTTTGTCATTTTACGATATCTCTTCGAGTTTTCATTTTTAAATTTTGCAGTTTTCCGATTTTCCAACTTTGGGACATTTCAATTTTTAGACTTTGCAGTTTTTCATTTCTTCAGTTTTTCGAGAAAAACGAGAAAGTACAAGTTATTCTATGTGACTTACATTAGGAGTACAGTCCAAAATTATTGAATAGTATATTTGTCTTTATATTTTTTGTTATAATATCTCTTGTTCTTTGGCCAAAAAAAAAAATGTTGATGGAAAACTACGTATATAAAGAAAAAAAAAAAACAAAGAGTAAGCCCCACCACCCGCCCGATCTCAATTGTGGTGAGTTTTTCATTCCTAATCAGACGAGGGGCGGAGTTTAAATGTAACATCAATATTTCTCTAAAAAAATCTACCCTTGTAAAAACATATTTCATATAGTTATTTCTTGTAGAGAAATGAGGATTTTGCCACTAAACTCCGCCCTTCAGCTCACGATGAATAAAGAATTCCTCACAATTGAAAAGGGGTGGGTGGGCGGGGCTTAGATTTGTCCACTGTTTCTTTATATACCAAGTCTTCTTTTCCCAACAACAACTGACAATATGTTTACTGTCCTGTTATTGAAAGAAAACTCTATATATTAAAAAAAACTTTACATATTCAAAAAAAAAAAAAAATTAAGCCCCACCCACCCTCCCCGATCTCAATTAGGATGAGTTTTTCATTCCTAATCAGACTGAAGGGCGGAGTTTAATTGTAACACCAATATTTCTGTAAAAAAATCTACCCTTTTAAAAATATATTATTTCACATGGTAATTTATTTATTATTTAATATTTAGTATACATATTTAGTTTTATAAGTTTGTTTCTTGTATTATTAATAATTTAATTAATATTGTAATAGGGGTATCCCGTTAATAAATATTCTATTCTATTCTATTCTAAATTTCTTACCGATAAATGACGAATTTTCAATTAAACTCCGCCCTTCAGCTACAATGAATAATAAAGTATTCATCACAATTGAGAAGGGGTGGGTGGGCAGGGCTTATACTTTGTCGATTTTTTCTTAATATAGGAAGTCTTTTTTTCCCAACAAGAAAGTGAAATCATGTTTAACTATTCTGTTGTTGAAAGAAAATTATAAAAATATATTAATTAAAAATTATAATTAAACAGATTTAACGATAAGCAGATTTATAAACAAATTTATGAATCAACAAATTTATTAATAAATCAATAAGCCAAGTTTAAAAAATTGATATTGTTTTTCAAACGTGTGTAGTAATTTTGAAAGAGAAACAAGGGAATTGTGTTTTCTTTGTAATATCTGGGATGTAGTTTTGTCAAAAAAATGTATCAATTAACAAAAATGTAAACAAATAGGCGAATAAACAGAATTATGAACAAAGAACCTGATGAACAAATTTATAAATGAACAAACTGGTAAACAAATTTTCGAACTAATTTATGAAATAAAAAAATTGACAAATTCACTATACCTAGGTTATAAATGAACAAATTTATGAAAAAAAAAATAAAAAATATTAATAAAAAAATTTAAAGAAACATATTGATTAAAAATTATAAACAAACACATATATCGATAAACAGACTTATGAACAAATTTATGAGACAACAAATTTGTCAATAAACCAAGTTTAAAAATTTTTATCAACAAATAGTGTGCAGTAAAGAGGAAACAACTAACTACTGTTTTATTTGATATTGTTTTTCAAAGGTGTGTAATGATTTCCCCACAATTGAGAAGGGGTGGGTAGGCGGGGCTTATATTTGGTCTATTTTTTCTTAATATTCGAAGCCGTCTTTTCCCAACAAAAAACTGAAAACATGTTTAACTATCCTGTTGTTGAAAGAAAATGCTATATATTAAAAAAAAAAACAGAGAGTTTCATTGTAACATATTATTTCTCTAGAAAATTTCACCCTTTTAAAAACATATTTCATATGGTAATTTCTTGTAGAGAAATGAGGATTTTTCAACTAAACTCCGCCCTTCAGCTCACGATGAATAAAGCATTCAATTGAGAAGGGGTGGGTGGGCGGGGCTTATATTTGGTCCACTGTTCCTTAATATACGAAGTCTTCTTTTCCCAACAAGTAACTGCCAATATGTTTACTATCCTGTTATTGCAAGAAAACTCTATATAGTAAGCAAAACTCTACATATTAAAAAAAAAAAAACAAAAATTGAGCCCCACCCACCCTCCCCGATCTCAATTAGGATGAGTTTTTCATTCCTAATCAGAGTGAAGGGCGAAGTTTAATTGTATCATCAATATTTCTGTAAAAAATTCTACCCTTTTAAAAATATATTTGATATGGCAATTTCTTGCCGATAAATCAGGGTTTTGCAATTAAACTCCGCCCTTCAGCTACGATGTATAATAAAGTATTCATCACGATTGAGAAGGGGTGGGTGGGCGGGTACTATATTTTGTCCATTTTTTCTTTATATACGAAGTCTTCTTTTCCCAACAAGAAAGTGAAATCACATTTAACTATTCTGTTGTTGAAAGAAAATTCTAGATATTAAAAAAAATAAAGATTATGCCCCACCCACTAACCCTGCTTTTTCTCACATTCTCGAGAAAATGGGGTAACTGACTCACTTTTAATTTGACCAATAAAAAATTTGTGATGACGCCATCGACATGGATAATACTAGTCACAGCACAAAAGAAAAGTTGTCACAGCGCATTACCAGTGCAAGAAAAAAAAAGGGTTAAGTTCGGCGTCGAACCCACGACACAATGTCGCCAAAATTTGACAAAATCGGTCCAGCAGTTTCGGAGATTACGTGTCTAATAAAAATGGATGCAGACACACACACACACACACACATTCCATTTATATCACAGTGGCGGTACTCTTATCTTCATACCTCACCGGCACCTACTTCACTCTTCCTTCATTCTCTCATCCTTCATCACCCGCACCCGCACCCCCATACCTCACTCCGTCACACCCTGTCTTATCCTGCTTCTTTTCTTAAACATCCTTTGATTCCAACAACCTCTCAAATCGTCTTTCCTCTTCCTCCATCCATCCTGACCGTTCACAACTCCTTCTTTCCTCATTATACAATCCAGACTCGAAAACAATATGCGAAACATTCTCTTCCCTACCGCAACCACACAGATCCGTATCATTCAGTCCTCTTTTATTCAAAAATTCATTCAGACCCCCATGCCCCGTCAACAAAAACATTCCAAACATTCCTGGCTCAAACCAAACATTCTCACTCGCAAACCTCACACTAGGAACAAAATCATGAGTCACTCTATCCTTCTCGCTCACATCCCATCTTCTTTACCAGATCTCCTACAGTTTTGCATCCAACACAGCCTTTTTCTCCAAATTCTCTCCCTCTTCTAACCTAATCTGCAGCCATCCCAATTCTCCCAGACTCACTCCCCTTTTCGCCCTAAACATCACTCTTCTCCTCAAAAATTCCAAATCCCACGGTAACTCTCCCGTCAGCAGTTGCATCGCATCCGTATTCACTGTCCTATAAAACACCATGCACCCATACAACACGCATATCCAAACCTCAACACATCACACCAAACGAAGCACACGCAACCGATAATCCTTTATATATCATTCGTACCGTTCGTTTATCCAGACCCCATTCTTTCCTCAATATACACCATATTCCCATCACTCCAATCACCCTACCTGCCAGACTTTCGACTTGTGGCCTAAAACTCATACGCTCACTAATTTTTATACCCAGATACTTCACCTCTTCCCCCAAGCAACCACCATTTCCATCACTTGCGTTCCCACATCCTCAATCTCCTTTCTATTATCCGCCTCAATTATACACAACAGATCATCCGTATACGCCACACACGATATCCCCCTTCTTCCAATCTCTTCCAACAACCCATTCATCATCATGTTCCAAACCGCCGGTCCACAGATAGATCGTTGTGGACATCTTCTACACACCTTCCTTTCCACCTCATTTGCCCCTCCTACCACACACACTTTCCGATCTCTAAAATAACTGGCCCACACTTTGATCTCCTTACCCCCAACAGAAGTTCAGCTCAGATTATCAAATGCTCCTTTAAAATCAACAAAAATTCTCAACACGTACTTCTTTCCCGACCACTCCACAACATGTTTCACTCTTATCCACGCATCCTGTGTTCCCAGTCCTTTCACGAACCCGAACTGAGCTCTCGACCTTCTTCTTTCAAGTACCCTCGCCAATCTCCCCACCAGTACTCTCTCAAACACTTTTCCCATTACACTCAAAATGCAGATAGGTCTATACGACCTCCGTAATGACCTATCCTTATCCATGCACTTCAAGAGGATGACCAGTCGCGCTACCTTCTATTCGTCCGGAACCCATCTTTCCCCCATACATGCATTAAACACCTTCAACACATACTCCGGGACAGTCTTCCACACACCCGCCATCATTTCAGGCGTCACACTATCGCTTCCCGGCGACTTCTTTTTCCTCATACTCTTCACGCTCCTTTCAACCTCATCATAATTCACTCTCTCCACGACACCCTCCACCTCTTCATAGTTAACGGAAACGTCAACTGGGAAAAACTCTCTCAACAATACCTCCACCGTATCCCTCCACGTTTCCGTTTTCCTATCACCGTCCCATACGCCTACTGGTCCTGCGTTCTTTTCACTCCTACAGAGCTTATAAACTGCACCCCACGGATCTGCACTGCCAACAAACCGGACAAAATTCCTCCAGCATAATACCTTTGTCTCCTTGACGGTCTTTTTATAATGTCTGAGCAAGCCTTGGTACTCGAACCTGCACCTATCGTTTCCGTCCAAATTTCTCTCTCGTTTACGAGTCAACTGCCTTTTTTTTTGTGGCTTTCTAGCTGCTCCCTACCCGGGAGTCTCTCAGATAGACAGACAGACAGAGAGTTTTAAAACAATGTTAACCCTAACTGTGCCCAAAATCTTGATATTTAGACGTTGTAAATCAAGTGGTGTCTAGCTGCCACCATTAATCCGTCAAATACCGTCTCCATTTAGAATAAAGTTTTGTAAGCAACCGATGTGCGCAGAATTTCCGTGCAAATAAATCCTATTCAGAAGTTAGACAGGGGGTGGAGGACTTTACAGTAATATCATATAAGAGCGTTACAAAAAATTACCATTTTATTGCAAAAATATCGTACACAATGGTTTAGATGTTAGAGCTTGGAAGTTGCTTCAAGTTTACTCGTACTTTGTACGCCAATATAAAAGCTACATCGATATTAAATATACTATATAAGTTTACGCAACTTATTTTTTGAAACTGTTTCCCTTGCTCACTCTTTGAATAGCTCTCAAAGCATTCTCGGAACTTTTCCACAGAACAGTGCTAGGCCTTTTCGCGTTTACCATTTCGTCCGCCGCCCAAATCAATATCCTTTCACTCCACCAACTACAGATAAATCCTCTTAATCAAATCAAGTGCAACTTTTCCGAATTACTTGTTAAACCAATTTATCGGCGCTCTGTTACTTACTTTTCCGTTTCCCTTTAAAACACTAATCTCGTAATGGACGCCGAGAATAGTTCTCCTTCACCTCGTCATAAAAACCCAATATCTTCCGTTATAGGATTCGCGGTATTGTTAGCATGTAACGCACACGATCCGCTAACATCCTCCCTCAAAAATCGATCTTTATTCGTACATAGCGGCTTCCACGCTCCACCACAGCGTCGATAAGCGTTTAAAGCCAGATTCGGCATGTTGGGGTTGGAGTGACAATTCCCATTTCGGATTGCTAATTACATCTTTTATGCGGGCGACGAGAAGCGGCTTATTGTCATGTCGAAATAAAGGTCACGGCTTATGCTTCTGTCGCACTTTCTTAATTAATTTTTGTGGTAAATATAAAGTTAATTTAGAGAAGTTCCGGTGGATATTCGGGCTTTGTGTGGATACAAGCGCCGGAGTATAAATAAGGCTCTTGGAATACAAAGGAGGAAAAAGTTAGATGAGTAAAGAAAAAAGACCAAATGGTTGGGAGAGACTTGACGGTGCTGGGAAGTAGAGCAAAGGAGAGTAATTGTGGGGTTTTTGAAGAATTGTGTTAGCGTAGTGCATGCTTGCGGGGATTATTAAACACGAGTGTAATTAGAGGAAAAAGTACAGTTCATTTAAAGAACGGGGATATAAAGAGAATCGTCAGTTAAATATACATTTTAGTAATGTTTGTACAAACGTGTACTTTACGTTTCAGATAAAGATGTACATTATTCATATAAGTATGTTCTAAGTATCGTAGTAAAGTTAGCCGTTTGTGTTTTTTCCTTTGATGTTCTACTTTTAATATTTCAGGTTAATTCAACATACTTAATTGTAGTAGTTTATTGTCTGACAATGTGCTTATTTTCGTTAACAATATTAATTTTCCGATCAATTTAAAGTAGTCATTTGAAACAGTTGTCTAAAAATCCACAAACACTCCACCAGGTTAGGTCAGGTCATATCAGGTCAGATAAGTACTGGGAGGAAAATTACACTTCAATGGAGGGGTTTTTACTGGGTTAAATGTGTCCTGTTGAGAACAGTTGTCTGTATAAGGTATGTCTAGGTCAGGTCAAGTCACGTAAAACTTCAAATTAACTGGGTGATCTCAAAAATATTACACCCCAGTTCGGTAGCAAATGTCTGTTTTATCGATGAGTGTGTTTCCCCTTTCAAATGGTTGTATTCGTCTTTATAAACACCATTATCGGGCCCGGCAAACTCCTTTTAGAGAATATTCGACTTTCCTCCTAATCACTTCGTTAAAATTAATGAGATCGTTAACAACACATTTTGTATCGAAATCGTATAACTGGTCGAAGTCTTACACAAAAAGTTCTAACAGATCGTGTTCAAATGCTACGAGAGTTAAATTAAAATTACACAGCAGAGGCGACAAGTAGTAAATGTGATAGTTCAGTGTAAGAGAGTTCCATTTACATTTGTATGATCCAGAAAGACATGTTCTGGGTGTTGGTTCCCTATTCCACACGGAATATTCGTAGTAGAACGGATAGCTAGATCGTTACGTCTTACCGAAATGGGATAACTGCGCCGATTAAGCCCCGTCATGGGTTTGTGGTTGATAATTTTAGAATTTGACTGCACCGCTTTTCGAGTGATTTCAGTCTAAGGATATTAATTAATGAAGACACAAACTCAACAGGGAATAACCAATCTCGAAAGTAAGTCAGGTTATAAATCGGCGCAGTTTGGTATCGTCCAACCTCATATCAATAATTTTTTTGTTTCCTATACAGAAATAATTTTATATACATGGAGTGAACTAAAATTGAAAAAACATAATATTAGTATTCCCGGTTAATCGTTTATAGTGGATGAAAGGATTATTGCTTGTTGGCCGTGAACAATAATTCTCTGTAAATAATGAATCCAGTGGATAATGAATACATAATGAATTTATTACTCAGGGGTAGCGATCAATCGGAAAACTGCAGTTGCAGTATTTATAACTCTAGGTGCGGCCTTGAACTCCACAAAATTCATAATCTTTATTGCCTGCACAGTTTTTCTTTTTAAAAAAGTAGTATTTTGTTTGACTTCATAGCGATTACTCACTCGCATGATTTACCACACCCGCTTACGGCTCGTGTGACAAACTGTGTGCTTATACGTAATGGCTATCGTTACACACTTGTCGAAGAATATAATATTTGTATAATGAGCTAGTAGACTGAGATTAGTGCTATAAAACAAAAAATCAAAATCAAATAGGACATTACTTTTATTGGCTGAGGTACGGTGGATGAAACTATAGCTATAAAAGGATAGTTAGTCAAAATGACCTGAGTTACGGCGCTTTAGGGGACACATAAAGGATACAAAACGGGCCAGATTGATGTTCCTTTTTGTACTCTTTCGTTATACAGCGCCGTTGAAATAATTTACAGCTTCCCCATTTCGTCGGCCGTTTATTCAGCGAGCAAAAATAATGGAAAGAAAAGTAAAATAAAACTCGTAACAGTAAAAAGCGAAATATTCTTTTACACGATCGAACGTAACGAACTGCTTTATTGGTGATTGCGGAATGAAGGAACAGATCAAAGTTCTCCGATATCAAAGTTCCCACACGACGAAACGAGAGAAAGTAAAACACAACACGCAACAAAAGCCATAAAGCAAACGATCCCGAAACACCGTAGAACAAAGAAACTCGCGCAATTAATCCCAAAAAGGAAAAATTAGCCTATTTAAAAAATAAAAGGAAACGATAAGTGCGAGCAGAAAACGTGCGCTCCGTAAAAACGAAATCAGGAGAATCGCGTTAGCCGTTTTCGCCCCTATTCAGGGTGAGTTTAACAACGTCATGAAAAGGTCTCATGTTCCCAATTCTTGGGGATCCCAATTAAATGGACGTTCCTTTCGGTTTTCGGCGTCGCCTTCAACGGGTCGGTGAAAGGGGGCTGAATTACAACGCGAAAAAGCATGCTGGCGACAGACCAAGTTCTACCTTTTTAAAGTGGCAGTAAATTTTATACAGTACATGACACAACTGAATTAATTACAGGTCGTGAAAAAGTGAGAAGTTCATCTTGGCGCGGCGATGCGACACAGAAGTCTAATTAATTAACAACTTGTTGACTAATTGGGGTGTTATGGCAGGCGGTAAGCTATGAAATTAGATTCAAGCAAAGCTTCCGTTTGATACAAGAAGTAAATTGGCAAACAGAGACAGTGAAGTGGTTAGTTAGTCACTTGGAGTCGCGAAGGGAGAGTTGAAGAAGAAGAAAAAAAAAGTTTCACTCCACTGTGTTTTGTTGTCAGAATTATGTACTAAAAAGTGCTTGAAAAGCAAAAAGAACTAGTAAAGAACAGCTAGAGTTGGGTGAACATGATGGTAATCTTCGGTGATTAGGGTTTAGGGTTG